GCTTCTAGGGGACAACTGCGGTCCCCGGGAAGGCACATCACATACGATCCGTTTCGAAATTTCAACACTTGCTCGCCGTCAGGGCATTCAGGAACTATGACGTTAGATGGTGATTCTACATTGTACAACGAAGGAGGCAATTCTGCAGCAACGGGCACGGACTGGGGTGCGTACTGTTGTGGTGACGGAAATGCCATTTGACAATCTTGCGTACTATCTGAGATGCAGGGCTGAGGTTCTGGTCTAACATCTACCACTTGAGACTGCGGGTATAATGAAGGCACGTGATCAGTCAGAGGAAGTTGAGGCTGTGGAAAGTAGTATTGCGAATAATCTATAATAACATGAAACTGAAAACACGACGTGACCCTTAACCGCATACGAACCCAGGTCAATAGGCGCAGGCATGTCAACGTTTGTGGATGGAGTTGTGGAATCTTAAACATCAGTCATGAATTAGACAAATTGCAAGAACGATCAATCAACAGGTTTAAATTACCTTTCTTGCAATACATCTGACATTCCTCGAAACTAAAAAAATGATTGCGGTTACCACCGCATCCGCTGTACTGAAACGGTTTGCACTGGGAATCAGCGCCGTCGAACCACCAACGCTCCACGAATGGTCCGGTGCATTTTCCAGAGTCCTGAAAAAACAAGAATCATTTGCAGCTGTGTCGGCAAGTCTGTGAAAGAACGTACCAGTGGCTCATAACATTCAGCTGCTGGATCAGGGCCCTTTGGAGCCTCAGCGCATTCTGTTGTTGTCGCTGGAGCAGTCGCAATGTGTTGAGGAGACTGAAACTGCGTTTCGCAGTCTTCAGCTGCTGGACTGATGCCTTGTGGCACCTCAGGAAATTCTGTTATTGCCGTTGGAGCAGTTGTAACGTGTCCAGAAGGTTGGGGATGTGTTTGGAAGTCTACCAATGGAACGGCAACCGTTACTGTCGTCTTTATCACGGGAAGGTGGATCGCGGTGGCGATCGTCGTGAAGTTCTGTTCCGATGTGACAGAAGGACAGAGGCAAACTTTACATTCTTGGTCGTCTGTTACAACGATGCAAGAACGATCTGAACACTGCTCCTCGTCGAGTGGTTTGCATGGAGGGGGCGGGGTCGTAGTCCTATGAGGACAGTAACATGATTTGCAGTTATTCTTGTCCCGGATCACCATGCAATGAGCACGACATTTCACTTGCTTGCAGGTGACACTGGCAGTGGCATTTATCTCTGGGGCTTCTAAAAGACAAGTTTGTGAACTACATGTGGTAATGACACAAGCCCCACAACCAAACAACTGCCGTAGCATTGAAAGTATTTTACAGTAAAATCCAAATTAAACATTTTGGCATTGAGTAATTCACATGTTTAAAGAACAACTGTCTCAGAAAATGACCAAAATCCCGCTCTTCAGATCCTGAACGAAATATTTTATGAAAACCTCGCCTTAGCATTAGAAACGGCATTCCTCAACAGATACGTTAGATTAAGCTTTCATCTAATTAAATATGCTGCAACCTGTACCATTATTAGCCTGTTGAAATGTACTATCTCAAAGAAATCACTGAAGCAAATAATTGTTAGTTACTATATGTCACTGTAGCAAAGAATATAAAACACCTGTCCATGGTCCAACGGGACACCCCTAAATGTGAAGGAAACTTTTCGGTAGCTGGCTCTTGGTTGTTGTACGGGGATGTACAGTAAGTCAAAAAATAGATCTAGAGAAATGGTTAAGAATTCCTTCACATTCCATTCAGATTTTTCGGCTGGAAAGGCCAGCGGCAAATCCATCGCATCATCTAACTCGCACGGTTACAGTGACATTATAATTAAACGTAGACGAACACCACAGAGAAGTCAATGCTATCTTACGTGTACTATGGGTCGTTGACACTTTCGAAGCTGAGGTTTTACCACTAACGGTGGCAGTAATTGGCGCAGCCGTGGTAGTGGTCGGTGCAACTGTCTTTGTGGTGAGTGCAGCCGTGCTAGCAGTGGGCGCAACCGTGATGGCGGTGGGCACCACTTTAGTGATCAGGTGTGCAACAGTGGGGGTGGTGGTGGCAGTGTATGTAACGCTGGTCTTCAACGTGGCACTGGGCACCTTCGTGGTCTTGAGCGAGGAATCGACTATAAAATAATATTCATAACATACGGAAATAAATGATCGTGTTAATTCAAGTGACTACATTGGGCAGTGAGAGCAGAATCTTACAATGATTTTTAAGAACCTCGTTAATACACCTTCCCCATGATAAGTAACCACTGACGAAGTATGACTGAAGTCGTAAAGTAAAATGATCCCCTGTTATAACACAGAAGACGAGCAATCCAATTTTACAACGACTTTATTGTTACCGATGCTACAGCTCAGTTCGGCAGAATTTGCCATCAAACCTTATCATTTCATCAAGTTGGTGGGTATAATTACGATTACTGATTAAGACAGCTCAATCTATTAACAACTATACTTCACTGCTACATCACACAATACAAATTCGACCTTCTCACAGCAGTCATGTAAATTAAATAATATGCAAATGAGTGATGAAATATCACCACAGCCCGTACTTACTTTTTAGGCACATCTTTTGGCATTCCAGTATTGAGTCAAAATTGTTTCCATTACCGCCACAGCCGGTATAGTTGAACACCACACATGAGTTAATAGTTTTGTCGTAGAAGTATCGCGTAAAGGTAGCGCCGCAGAGTCCTTCGTCTTTTGGATGGTCGCAGACGTTGGCTGTCAGATCTGCAGAAAAAAGAGTGATTTCGACGTAAAACAAGAACAAGCAAAGAGACGAAATAAGCTATGTCCTTACTAGCGCACTTGTCTGTGCAAGCCTTTTCGGTCTCGAAGTTATTCGCATTACCCTTACAGCCTGAGTACTCGAATATTTCGCACATGCCTGCTGTTTCATTCCAAAACCTAAAACAATGAGACCATCAATAGTGAGATCATACCACGCATCTACAGTATATAAAATACACATAGTACTATCACAAGATGTGTCCAAATATTAATCAAGATTTGCAACCTGTTTTAATCTATACGTCGTTCTCGCTCTGCAAACAAATTAGGCTCACTTGTCCGCATACATGGGAATCATACACTGCTCTGGATCTTTTCCAACCCTGCACGCATGTACCAGCTTCAACTGTACTCTGATCGCAATATATCTGACATTCCAACATAAGCTATGCTTCAACAGTATTTTTCAAAGCTTTGATTAGTGACTTTACCTTAATGTGATGTTGTTTAGGGCAAGCGCTAGTACCGAAAGGAAGTTCAGGCCGTCATTGGTGACGTGATTACTGCGACAATAAGGTATGCAGAAAAAATCCACAGTAACAGCGAACATCCTTCATAACAAAAAATATTTTCAGTGTGGTCGATTTAGCCGGTACCTTGTCGACATTTTTAGGATGCCGGACAAAAACAGAGATTACCAAAAGTCAACATAGACTCTTATGACAAGGATTCTTCACCGACTCCCTACATGTTCAGTCTAGTTGCAACAGCGCTTATAAATATATTTGCTGCATTTGCTATCAGCAGAAGTTACGGCAATCTATGTATAAAATGCGATTCGGTTTGGTTTTGTTATTTTTTGTCTGGCAAAAAAAATCCGCATATATTCTGTTGAAAAATATGCATTGTTTGGCTGTTTGTCGTGACTCATTAAATTTTTAATCTGGCACTAATCCGCATCCGCAAATAGCATGTCAAACGACGAATGGAAAATAACTTGTAGACACTGAAAATGACGGAAACGACAGCGCACATCACAGACCACTATCGCACTCGTGCCTTCAGTAGGGAAGCCAAAACAACTAACGTTATTCCCCTCCCTTCGAACATGGAAGCGGGAATGGATGTGAAGCCTGTAGCTCAAAATAAGAGCCTGACTTTAGCGATGCCACAGGAAAGAAGACAAAGAAGAAGCATTGTCTGGATTCTCTGTCGCCATGTTCATTATATGACACCATTTGCCCCCAGAAAAGAAATGTCCCCTGTTAAACAAATTAACACATTAATGAAATTAACGAAAATATTACCATCGACTCTCAGCATCGCCGCAGGGTCCCCGTTCTGGCTTCAGCTGGCACGTTGACACAGCTTCCGAAGGTACGACGGGTTGCTTGGCGCCATAGGCCAGTTTGATCATCTTCATCGTTTCGCGATCCTTTGCCGACGGTCTGCTGGGCGCATAACCAGGCGGATTTGGTACCAAACCTGGAGGTCCTGGTGTTGGCATGTTGGCCGGTTTGCCGTAGCCAGACACGAAGTCGGTTTGCTCATTATTAGACGGAGGCATGGGCAGGCCGAGCAACTCTTTCTCGACGGGATCCTCTTCTGATGCGGCGGCGGTGTTGTTGTCACCGAATGCAAACGGCACGACGCGCTTGTCGCCGCACAACATCTCGCAAGCTTCCAGAGTCTTGAAGTTGTTCTCGTTACCATTGCATCCGCTGAAGAAGAAGTACTCGCATTGACCGAGCTCTTGGTTGTAGAAGAATCGTAGTTGGAACTTGCCACAGTTCCCTCTCGCTTTTGGCAGTTTGCAAACGG